TTATTTCATTTTAGGTTTATCTGACTGAAACAGATACAAAATAAATAATTTAATTTTTAATCTAGAAGATAGTATGGTATTATTTCTCTGTTGAAGTTATGTAAAAAATTGGAATTTATTCAACGAAAAGAAAATCATTTTATCAATTTCCTGTCGTTTACTTGGAAAAAAAATAGTTATATTATTATCATCGTTGAAGAATCTAATTTTTCAGTGTAATCTCAATAACCTGACAACAGCAATAGCCAGTTGCTTGTGCCTTTCACAACTATTGAACAAAGAGAACTCTATTAGAAGTCTTTTCATCTGATACTACTAAAGAGAAAATTATTTTGAAATCTATACTCCTTGTAAAAAATTCAAAAACATAGATGAAGATGTTATTTAATTTCAAGTAAATTTTGATAATGAGAAAATAGTGAGAAGTTAATCATCTGAACCGCAACTAGAACTGTGAAACTGAAGCAGATATCAAAAATTGAACTTACATCAAAGTGGAACATCTTTTCATTTTTTTCTGAAATGTTTTACGAAACCGATTTGTTTTAGAAATCATCTTACAGTACAAAGTGTCAGATGAGTTATTGAAAATACAGAAATGTCTCCTTTTTCTTGGCCAGAAATTAGCTATTAGGTTTAACTCAAAAACGTAAACCCTATCGTTGATTATGATCATCAGAAATCAAGCATGAATTTTACAGGGTGACGGTGTGATAGAGAATAAAATTATGTTTAATTCTTAACCTTCAAATTTTATAAACAGACAATGATTTTCAATGTTTTATTTTATAAAAATCAATCAAAACACAACGATCAACATTGACGTTAATATCATCCAAAGATAATATTTAGAGAGAAAATAAAAGTTTTTTTTTCTTGAATTACTTAAATTATCAATGTCAAATATATCTTAATGAAATGATCATTTAATTTTTTAATTCAAATTTTACTTTAGAAGTGAAATTAACATCTTATTGTGAATATAGCAAATAACTATTAAAAATTAAAATCGATCAAAATAATATTTGTCATATTCAATTCTTACCTTCAAACAAAAATATCATAATGTTAATCGAAATAAGATGTGAAAAAATGATTTCATAATCCTGAATAAAAGTAGCAATAACATCGAATTATTAATCATTTTCAATAAAAAAACATATTTTGTTGATAACTTTGTTGAAGTTCAAGAGCAAATTTTTCTTATCTAATAAAAGTTTTTTTAAAGTTTAAATAATTTAAGAATTGTTTCATGAATATATAAAGAAAAATATTTATTGTTTTTATTTTCTTACGAGGTATTAATATTAATGCACATTTAAAAAACAACCAGGCTGATAAGTATCTTCCGAAAGACTCATGTTGTTTTTGACCATCAATGTTAACATAACCTTTCCTTTTTTTCTATTCTTTATCTCTATTTCAGGATATGCACTGCATGAGTTATTACTCAAATTGACGGCGAATGTATTGTTTTTATCCGCCGTTTCATTCAATCATCGTCTGTTTGCTACAATGGCGAGTGCACGACATTCAAGTTATTCTTACACATTCGAGATGGAAACACAGACGAATTGAACATGAAATGTTTAAAGATGACAGAGATATCGTGCACTCAATATTCCATTGCTTGACAAACACCGGTTGTTATCATGCGCTGCGTATTATTATTCCGTTACGTCGACGTCGTCTTTCATCGCGTCTTTCCGTTTTCATATCTTATCTTTCTTCCATTTCTACTTCTTCTTGTTCTTCGTAACAGAAGAATAAAAATAATTTTCTAACTAATGGAGCTTTTGAGGGTGGCTCTAATACAAATCAACCTTCCCAGGGATATCCGACGTTCTGTTGATGACCCGTGCAGATGGTAGGCCTTCATAGCATACATCAATGTATGTATGAATGGAAGCGTCCATTTCGTCATCGTCTTTTCCAAGATGATGATCATGGTTGTACTATTCATACAAACATCGATGTATGTTTGCCTAACCGTTGCCGGCTTTGTCCACTGTACGAGCCAGCAGAATACGGAGGGTATATCCGGTCGCGCGTGCGCGAAATGTAGCAGCTGCTGCGCTTTAGCGAACTTAGATTTTAAGATGGCCAGTTTATTTTCTCTTTAAAAACGAAAAAAAAAACAATTACATTTTCTTTTTCACATTGTCAATGTTTCTTTTCACCAGAGCAATATGTGGATGATTTGCAGGAAGTGATTTTTGGAAGATTTCTTGAGCTTTTTCGTAATGTGAAAGTGCTTTCGAGTACTCGCCCATGTTATAATACACTTTGCCGATGTTGTTGTAGGAAGCAGCCAGGTCGGGATGATTCGGAGGGAGAGCTATTTTACGGATTTCAAGTAATCGTTCATACGATGAAAGTGCTTTTGAGTACTCGCCCATGCTATAATACACATTACCGATGCCCATGTAGGAAGAAGCCAAGTTTGGATGATCCGGAGGGTGAGCTATTTTACAGATTTCAAGTGATCGGTCGTACGATGAAAGTGCTTTCGAGTACTCGCCCATTTTATCATACACCAAGGCGATACCTTCATAGGAAGAAGCCAAATCGGGATGATTCGGAGGGAGAGCTATTTTACGGATTTCAAGTGATCGTTCATACGATGATAGTGCTTTCGAGTACTCGCCCATGCTACAATACACCGCACCGATGTT